TCTTATACCCACTTTTGTACCCACTTATGTTTGTGAAGTGTTTTTTGTCTGTGAACCCGGTTCACAGACAATATTTTGCACAAACAACATAAGGTGAGTATAAAAGTGGGTATAAAAGTGGATACATCGACCATTGTTGCTTTTACTCTGAAGCACTACTTCAGTTTGTTGATTGTCTTTCTATATATATAGTCGTACTCTTCATTAAAAGTTACCCACCTAAAATGCTAGCTAAATAGTTTTTTTTATAGTAATGGGACACTTTTTTGAAAAGTAATTGATTTTGAAACCTCTAAATGGATAAATGAATTCCTACGTATTTCTGGTTGAACTTCTCTAGCTTATGATTTAGCTTTTCTATAGTACTCCAATAGTGCGTACGTTCGTATATAAAATCGATGGAGTATATGAGCTAATCCACCACGGTCCACACACTCCTGAATACACTCCTATAGCTTTTCAGTTAACTTTTTTACAAAAAAAAAAAACGAAACTTTTTAATTTTGCATGTTGGTTGTCACGTAAAATCAAAATTAAGTAAAATAGTAGGGGTTTCTTTCTAACTGAAATATTAAAGAACAATAACTTTAGCATTCGATTCATATATTTCAGTTTTAAATCAAATGCATTTTAAATGTAATCTGTTCACATATAAGCAAATTCATCAACTAATTTAGTTGTTTGAGAGTTTCATTAATTTTAATAGTTTTGACCGATTTGGCTATTTTTACTGTTACCTGACAAAATCTTGAAATAAAAAGTCTCAAAGTTAGAATTGAAGCTGAATTTTGGACATTAAAAAGGTGTACGCTGGCCTTGCAAACTAAATGAAAGTAACATTAATCGAGACTTTTATTAGCGAGTGCACTAGACTAATTATTCATGAAAATATAATTTCTTTGAGCTAATTATATGCTAAAGGTACCCAAAACGGGGTATCACGTTTTTACCACACTTCCGTGTGTGACCATAAATGGGACTAAGTCATTTAAATGAGGCATAACTTAAAAGATGTTCCATTGTATATTAAAAAGTGTTTGTGCCGAGAACCTTACGGCCTGTTTGGATGGAGTGTTCGGAGGTGTTAGTAATGGAAGTGTTAGTAAGTGTTAGCAGGGGACCGGAAGGGAAGGGAAGTGTAAGTGTTAAACATAATCTTACCTTGTTTGGGAGAGTAAAAAAAATGAAGTGTTAGTAATGGAAGTGTTTTCACTTACATTGACAAAAATATCCTCATACCTTCTAAATTATTACGTAGTATTAAGTACGGAGTACCAATAATTGCATGAAATGGTATATATGCTACTTAATATATACTCGTATTTACTACTAGTACTTGTATAAAATACATGATGCTATGAATAATTACAAGTGTTGTCCGAATCAAGTGTTGCTCCACATTGATTTTGAAAAAAATATTGTACTTATTGAAATATTCTACGTATTAATTTGAAGTGCTAAAAAATTAAAATGAAATTGCCGAAATTAAAATATTCTGTTAAGCTAACACGTTTGTTGTTTGAGCCATTCAATTCCAAGCACTCAACAAAATGAAACCCAAATAAACAATCATCAAATCAATTTTCCAAGCACTTTGTATATAGCTCGTTTGACTAGTTCCCTGTTTCCAAAAGGCCAATAAAAAGGAAGTAAATTTAAACAAAGAAGTTTGAACTAGAACTACATATCAAGAGCCATGCCGGAAAATCAAATCAGAAGAACTTGCAGCAATAGGATCAACGAGCTACAGATCGAGCAGATAGCATGGCTCAATGGGCAGTAGAAGATGCTCCAAACATGGTGTGTATACATATATCTAGCAAAGACTGAATGAAATCATTCGTAGAAAGCTAAAATCGAAAAAGATGAAGAAGGAATAGGAAAAGAGAAGACAAATCTGGAGGAGGAGAAGTCTCTGCCGGAAGAAGAGCCGCAAGTGAACAGTTTGGCTTCTGCTGCCGAAGAAAGAGGAACGGTTAAAAAAGGGCAAATGTTGTCCTACACTTCCTTACATCCCAAATTGGAGTGTTAAAAAAGTGATAAACATAGGTGTTGGGAAGGTTATATCTAACGAGAAATCATCATGTCAGGCCGGCCTGACCGGGAGAGCCGTCCGGCCGAGCCCTTTTGGCAATCTTTCCAGTGGAATTTTTTGATGAAATTTTTTGAGCATGTTTCTCATCAAGTCTAGTTTGTCCATACCAAATTTTAGCTCAAAATTCAATTGGGAAGGCATTCAAATCGTTTTTTGAAGTTGACTGCGTTTTTATATGTATATTTTGACGCAATCAACTTCAAAAAATGATTTGAGTGCCTTCCCGATTGAATTTTTAGCTGAAATTTGGTATGAATAAACTAGACTTGATGAAAAACATGCTCAAAAAATTTCATCAAAAAATTCCACCGGGAAGGTGCCCAAACGGGCTCGGCCGGACGGAGGTTCCCGTCAGGCCGGCCTGACAAGAAGAGTTCTCTATATCTAACACCCTCAAACACACCTCTAAAAAATTAATTTTTCTCCCAAACAAGTGTTTAAATTAACACTCCTTAACACTTTCATTACTAATACCTCCCAACACTTAATCCAAACAGGCCGTTAGAGTCCGAGGATGGTCTATAAAGAATGAAAAGGAGAATTGATGTGGAGGTGAAGACGAAAACAGGGTCAACATGCATTGTAATCGTATTCTAATAGAACTCTATGGAATCCATGAGAATTCAAAGTGTCGGGTTTTTGATAAGAATGCATATTACTCCATGTCTCCATGGCATATAGTGTTTTTAGTGGTTTTCAAACTTGTACCATATACTTGATTTGGAACTTGTAATGGAAGGTGGTCTGTGGATTTTTTAGCAGAACTTGTTAATTCTTATGGCACTTAAACCATGTGATGTTCCCTTTCGTGTTCCTTTGAATGAAGCTGAATTTTGGGTTCAAGTGCATGATGTTCCTTATGATTATATGAACTTGGGAGCTGCGAGGAGAATTGACAATTTTATTGGTAAATTTGTTAGTTTTGATACAAGCCATGCCAGTTTGAGAAAAAATGGAACCCTTATATGAAGATAAGAGTTTGTCTGGATGTGGGGAAACCGCTAAAGGTGGGGACGACCCTTAGGAGGGGGCAGGGAGAAGGGCACTGGGTTGACTTTAAATATGAGAAATTGCCTAGTTTTTGTTTTATTTATGGAATCATAGGGCATGCTGACAGATACTGCTCGTTGGCTTATGAGAATAAGAAGGCAGCGGTAACCAAAATGTACGGGGTCGGTCTGCCCGCAGGAGGAGGAGGGGGGAGATCTTGAGCTTTTGGGGAAAATAAGTGGTTACTCCCAGAAGGATAGGGCAGGAAAGGAGAGTAGAATGAGGGTCTAAGGAGAAGGGATGACCTGTAATCTTTGGCAGGAGATAGCAAGGGCCGAATGGAATCTGAAGACAAATCGGGTGAGGAAGATGCTATTGGGGAACTAAAATGAAGGAGGACTTGGGAAGACTCTAGTGGGGAGATGGATGGAAGGAAGAACATGATCCTGGATGATCCAAAAAATGGGGAAGGGGCGGGTTCAGGCATCTCAACCTGCCGAACTGTTTGAAGGGTTTTCCGGCCAGGGGAGGGCATTGGAGTCCATTCGTCATTATTTGGATTCAGCTTAATTTCCACGCGTTTACTGTTTCTATTTTTCTGCTTTGTGCTAAGAACTTGTTTTGTTCTGTTACTACTGTTTTTTTTTTTGCTTTTTGTTAGACTCTTACATTAAGTGGGGACGATGAGGGTATTGATCTCGCCATGATAGACTCATTTGGACCCACTATAGGATCAACCAATCAAATTGCTTTGCTTAGGGTGATTGGTTCTCAGCCTGGTTCGCGGGTCGATGGCTGGAAATGTCCCCTTTATTTTTTATGCCCTTGCTGAATGTTTTATTATCAATATAAGCCGTCTTGTTCCAAAAAAACTTATTTTTAGAAGAAAGGTGTAGTGATTTTTACCTCAAAGGATGTACTTGGACTATAATTCGTCCCAAATCAGACCAGTTCAGATTAGATCAGACCAGACTTGAATAGTTATAAAAATATAAAGAGACCAAACATTACCTGACCATACCAGACCAGTTCAGACCAGACCAGATCAAACCAGACTATACCAATAAATTACGGTTCAAGTAAAAACATCCGAACTACGGAGTATATTCTACTATATTCTATTACGAGTATTTTATGTATGAAGAAAAAAAGGGGAAAGTACGGAAAAAGTACTTGTGGTTGAGTCCGTTTTCAGATAGAGTCATGTTTTTCATTCTTTATCAGAGTGGTTCATGTGTTTGAATTCCGCTATCACAAAAGGCTCACGCCATTAAAAACGTCTGAAAAAGACCGTCAAAAGTAACTCAAATTTTCAAAAGTGCACGAAAAATTAAAAGAAAAATACCGGAAGGTGCGCCTCATTAAGACGACCGCTAGGTCATCTTTCTTTTTTGTTTTCAGCCACCCTTGTCACCGGGAAAGTCCACCAGAAAAGTGATATTAGCAGAATCATTTTAAAAAATAATTCAAACATATCAAAATAATCCAAAGGCGAAGGTGGCTTGAAGGTCATCTTGATGAGGCGCACCTTTTGATATTTTCTTTTAATTTTCCGGACACTTTTGAAAATCGGAGTTACTTTTAATGATCTTTTTCTGACGTTTTTAACGGCGTGATCCTCTTGTGATAATAGAATTGAAACACATGAACCACGTTGATAAAGAATGAAACACATAACTTGAAAAAGGGCCTAACACTATTTTTCCGTACTTTTCCGTGCTCGGACAAATTGTCAAATTCTGCATGCGGATTGGTTTAATGGCGGAAGCATTTGCATCCCGCACGCGGATTTTTTCTGCAAGTAAATACGGAGCATCTGTTTCCGGTTCGGCCCATTAGTTGTTTCATTCGTTAATTATGGCGCCTTTTATTCCCACATGTCACCAACCAAAAAACCTACTCCCCCCCCCTCCCCCCCAACCACAATCAAAAACCTACTCGCCGGTCGTCGCTCAGCTCTGTATATGGACCCTCGCCTAGCTCCTCGGCCAAATTTCCCGATGATCCGCCGGGTGGGCTTTTTACCTCCTGAATTACCCCACTCTGATCCGCTCGAAGATCCACGGTCAATATTGCAGTCTCCCAATATGATTGTTCCTCGCCCTCTCCGAGACTCTGACGCTGCTTCCCATTCCGCAGGCATTCCGGTTCCCGCCACAGCTCCCATGCGGATTTCGCAAGGCGACGGCGAGGACGAGGGGCAGTTAGTTGTCGGGAGCTACGACGCCTCCCAAACTGTGCCCGGAAGCTCACCCACGTCTAGCGGAATCGGCCTCGTAGATGGTGAGTTCTCCATGGACTCGGCTAACTGGATTCTCCCCGAACATTCGCAGAAGTTACTCCCGGCTTTGTGCAACGTCGGCTCTGAACAGGCCACAGCCGCCGACGAATTGGCTGCCCCCAACCGCACTTCGAAGCGCGGTGGAATATCTGACAATGGTATACTGATTGCTGTGTCTACCTTGTATTTGTGGAGTTTGCGAGGTTACTCTGAAATGTTTTCTGACTATTATTTTTCAAATCTGTTAAATTTGAAACAACGAAAGAAAAAAATGAGAGGACTATGGAGCAAACTTAATTCAATTATATGGTCCAGGAAAAGTTGAGTTATGATTCTTCCAATCCTTAACTGTTTAGATTGTAAATTTGTACTTCAAAGCCTAAAATGAATGATGCAGCTAGTCTATCCTTTACTCCGAGTAGTAAGTACTTACTTGAAAATTGTTATATTAGGTTAGTAAGTCTGGGAAGATAAATATTTACTTGCCCATGTATGAACATTACGTAAGGAGAACACAGTTCAAAAGCAGTTGGTTGGTTGTTTGCTGTAAATGAATAATATGATTGTGATCAATATTCATGATAAGTAGAAGCAGCATTTTGTAGAATGGGCCATGATTCACTGTATAGTTCGTGCTTGTTTGGAAGTCTTAATATTTTGACAAATCATGTATTTTTAGTATAAGTAATCATAAATCTATTGATTGTAAATTACAGACAATGGTGGCCAAAAAGCAGTGGAGAAGCCGAAACAAGTGCAAGAAAGCTCAAAGCAGCAAAAAGAGAAAACTACAAAAGCAGAAAGGAGAGCTCTCCAGGAGGCTCAAAGAGCTGCCAAAGCTGCTTCAAGAGGTTCACTTCCTCCCTTTCCAGTGGTAGAATGTTGCCACATTTATACTCAGAGATAACTGCTTCCTTGAAGTCTGTCAAGAATGGATTTTTATTAAGCTTCTCTGTTGCTGGCAGAAACATCCTATTAGCTCCATGCCACCTTATTTAGTTTTTCGAAGTGGTGTCGACCTCTTCATAGTTGCCTCCTAAACTCATGGTGGTGAACATCCCTAGGTCAAAGACAAAATATCAAAACCAGACTTTTAAAGTCTCTTGGGGATCACTATCCTGCTATGTGCCCCTAGTAGTCAATGTTTTAATGGCTATTGGACACAAGTAATGATCACTTATTCTGTTTATATAGATTCCATTTTGAGGGGTAGCCTTAGTACACCGGTAACAGTGTTGTTGTGTGCTTGAGCCGCCTCTTGTAAAAAATTGACAAGGCTTCCCCTATACACCCTTGTGGCTGGACCCTTTTTTGAGAATCCATTCTTTTGGAAGTTATTTGAGTTATGATTTGATGAGACCTCTATGTGAGAACGTCTAGGCACCAAACTCCATGTATAAGCACCTACCTGTCACCACTCACCATTAGCACTTTCTGCAACACTGTGTTCGGTACAGTTAGGACTCGGTGTCTACCATTCTCAAATTCAAGAGGTTTATCGAAAAAGAATATGGGTACTCTTTCTTGCACAGTTACTTGATTTACTGGAGGGTAAATGGTGGAATGGTATGTCCCAAAAAATGTAATGAAATTTTTTATGCTGTAGAAACAGTTGCCCCCCCCCCCCCCTCCAAAATGTAACTTTGTGAGATTGTTTCAGAACTATTTTATAACTACATTCCAATCTTGAGGTTTTATTTACTATTGACTGTTGGTACAGAATACCAACTCTTCTAGTTGTGCATAACAAGTGCCTGGATTTTTCTAATTTTTGGTTGTTTATATTAGCTGTTTGCAATAAACCTGCGGCTGGGGGATCACCAGCTTCAGTATGTGAAAAGTCTCCAAAAGTTTTGAAGCAAAGTTCACATAAGCAAGATAGCAACCTAATGTCAACCTCATCAACCATGGAGAAGAAAAGAAGTAACCAAACATTGGTTAAAGATAGGAAAAATGATTTTCCTGCACCACGCATGCAGTTTGATGATAAGAGCCGTGTAGAAAAGGCCAAAAAACGTGCATTACTTAAACAAACGGAATCTAGAAATAGAGTAGAGATGTTTCTGCATTTGCGTCAGTATGAACATGGAACTCAGCTTCATGATCTTGAGTCAAAATTCTTCCAGCTTGATTCAATGCATCCTGCTATATACAAGGTACACTTCCTCTCCCCTCCTTTGGATGATAGAAGAATCATATCATCATATAACTTTTGTTCTGTAGGTTTGCATGAACTTGTTAATTCAGAAATCGAAAATATAAACTTCAATTTTTATATTAGGAAAGGGAAAAGGGGCAAATAAGCCCTCGAACTAACCCAAAAAGTGCAAATCACCCCTTTTATAGGAGACTCTGTCCGGACGTCGTCATTTGGGGAGGTTCCCGGTGGAATTTTTCGATGAATTTTTTTGAGCATATTCTTCATTAAGTCTAGTTTACCCATACCAAATTTCAGATAAAAATTCAATCGGGAAGGCAATAAAATGAATTTTTGAAGATAACTATGCAGTTGAACAGCGCAGTATATTTCAGAAAATCATTTGACTGCCTTCCCGGTTTTATTTTTAGCTGAAATTTGGTATGGGTAAACTAGACTTAATGAAGAAGATGCTCAAAAAAATTCACCAAAAAATTCCACCGGGAACCTCCCCAAATGGCGACGACCGGACAGAACCTTCTATATAAGGGGTGGTTTGCACTTTTTTGGTTAGTTCGAGGGCTTATGTGCCCCTTTTCCCAGAGGAAATAATGTATTGTTACTTATATGTGCCGTGTGAGCTGGGCACTAGGTTCTGGCTGATCATGGGTGGTATCTCAGTCCCTCTATTATTATCTCCTAATTTGACATCACACACTTCTTTAGAAAGTAGAAATTTTGTGGCTGATGTTTTTTAGAAGAAAGAGAAACAATATCAACCAAAAAATCATTCCCTTGAAAGGAAACAGGACATAAATTAAGGATGGATGAAAAGGGAAAGAGTGAATACAAAAAGGGATGGAGGGCGCGTTAGTTTTTTACCTTGTATGTGAACTGAGTTATATGTTATTTCAATGTCAGATCAAATATTGGTTGGCTTAAAATTTGATATGCTTTATCAATCAGGTTGGGGTACAACATTTGGCTGGAGATCTTTCTGGGAGTAATGCGCGGTGTGTTGCTATGCTTCAGGCAATTAAGGAAGCTATTAACGACTACTCCCTTCCCCCGGGAAAAACATTCGCAACAAGTGATATAATTTCAAAGATCAAAAGTTATGCTTCATTTTTTGACGAATGCAGGCCACTGTCAATCAGTATGGGTAATGCAATTCAGTTTTTAAGGGGCCGTATAGCCAAATTACCTCACACATTATCTGAGTCAGAAGTAAAGGAAAATTTGTTTTCAGACATTGATGGTTTCATCAATGAGAAGATAGTTTTAGCAGATAAAGTAATAATAGGACATGGTGTCAAAAAAATCAAGGACGGTGATGTCATTCTAACGTACAGTTCATCATCTGTTGTTGAGATGATTATACTACATGCTCATGAGATTGGAAAACAATTTCAAGTTGTCATAGTAGACTCTCGCCCCATGTTTGAAGGCCAAGCACTACTTCAAAGACTGCTGAAGAAGGGAATCAACTGTGCATACACTCATATAAGTGCTGTTTCTTACATTATGCATGAAGTCACAACGGTTTTCCTGGGAGCAGCATCTATATTAGCTAATGGTACTGTGTACTCAAAAGTGGGGAGTGCTTGTGTTTCAATGGTTGCTCATGCTTTCCGTGTTCCTGTTCTGGTTTGCTGTGAAGCTTATAAGTTTAGTAAGCGGGTGATGCTTGATTCAATTTGCTGCAATGAATTAGGTATTTTGCCTTCCCATTGATCTCTCATGTTTTGGTTTAACGTGTAGAGGGTCGGTAAAAACTTAGCTAATCCATATGTTGAAAACTTTCAGGGAATCCGAATGCAGTTTCCCTGGTTCCTAGAGGATCAGGTGCCAATTATTTGAAGAATTGGACCGATATAGAAAATCTTCAGATTTTAAATTTAGTGTAAGTTTTTGAGGGTTCACGCTCAAAGGAGAGTCAAACTTTTATGTTTTGGTATGCTACTTAATGCACTTACTTTTGAATGATTTTGACAGTTACGATGCTACTCCCTCAGACTACATCTCAATGATCATAACAGATTATGGCATGGTAAGGGCTTTATTATTATTATCATCATCAATTTAGCATATTTTCTTTTTCTTTTTCTACATTCCAATGTGATGAATAGCATACTCTTTGAGATGAAGCGATTTTGTTCCCACTGACAGCTTCCAGAGCATAACTTTTCCTGCTTTTTACTATTGGTATTGTCCAACCGACATGGTTAATCGTTATCAAACTCCTGATGGGACACCATACATAAATGTGATTTTTCCCCTTTGGAAGCTTGAAGTGACCTTTGCCATTGTTTTTCTCTCGTGTATTTCTGTGTCAAGTAGTTTTAGACAATTAATTAATGGATTAAATATGTTTCATATCCTTGCAGAAATGACACATTTTGGTTTAATTTGAAGAATGACAAAAATATTAGTTATAGGGTTTGGATGGACACAAATATCACCATTTTTTACCTGGACAAAAAGTGATTTAATATCCCAAATCACACGTGGCTCTCCTTTATTGGCCCGGCTTCCAGAAAGCTATTTAATATCCCAAATGACATAGAAGACTTAGGAAGTGTTTACTTCACTGCTAAAGTCACAGTTAGGTTAGTAAGACAGGTGAAGTAAACACGCACACTGCTTAAAAAGCCGCTTACTAACCGAAAGAGGTGCTTAAAGTGCCGCTTATTAAGCATATCACCCCCATGTATTAATTAAGCGGCACTTTAAGCTTTTTCAGTTTCCGAATTTACCCCTTGCCCGTAACCTATTGTTATCCCTGCCCCACCTCGACCCCAACCCCACCTACCCCGACCCCACCCTACCCTTACCCCACCTACCCTGACCCACCCTACCTCGACCCCACCCTACCCTACCCCACCCCGACCCCACCCTACCTACCCCACCCTACCTAATCGACCCCCACCCTACCCTTACCCCACCTACCCCGACCCCACCCCACCCCTACCCTTACCCCACCCCTACCCTACCTAACCGACCCCCACCCTACCCCACCTACCCTACCTAACCGACCCCCACCTACCCCGACCCCACCCCATCCCTACCCTTACCCCACCTACCCTACCCCACCCCGACCCCACCCTACCACCCCTACCCTACCTAACCGACCCCCACCCTACCCTTACCCCACCTACCCCAACCCCACCCCACCCCTACCCTTACCCCACCTACCCCACCCCGACCCCACCCTACCTACCCCACCCCTACCCTACCTAACCGACCCCCACCCTACCCTTACCCCACCTACCCTACCCCACCCCTACCCTACCTAACCGACCCCCACCCTTACCCCACCTACCCCGACCCCACCCCACCCCTACCCTTACCCCACCTACCCCACCCCACCCCGACCCCACCCTATCCCACCCCTACCCTACCTAACCGACCCCCACCCTACCCTTACCCCACCTACCCTGACCCCACCCTACCCCACCTACCCTACCCCACCCCGACCCCATCCTACCTACCCCACCCCTACCCTACCTAACCGACCCCCACTACCCCACCTACCCCGACCCCACCACCCCTACCCTTACCCCACCTACCCTACCCCACCCTACCCTTACCCCACCTACCCTACCCCTACCCGACCCCACCTTACCTTACCCCTACCCCTACGGGCCTATGGGGGCCTATGGGGTCGGGGGTAGGGTAGGGTGGGGACAGGTTAGGGTGGGGTCGGGTAGGTAGGGTGGGGTCAGGTAGGTAGGGTAGGGGTAGGGGGTAGGGGTAGGCGGTGGGTGGGGTCGGGGTAAGGTAGGGTGGGTAAGGGGTTAGGGGTATGGGTACACATATTATATTATATACTTGTGTTCATGAATGTTTGTGTGTATATATATGTATAGGGTTATTTTGGACATTTTAATGTTAAGCGGTGTTTTAAACCGTTTGAAGTAAACACGGTCTTACAACATTGTTTATTTTATGCGCCGCTTATTAACACGGGTCTTAATAAGCACCGTTTAATAACCGGTGAAGTAAACATGTCCTTACTCCTAAATCCTAATACACCATTGTGACGGGACCCTTCCTTGGACCGTTGCCTTGCGGGACGTCAATGTGCACAGAACTGCCTTTTACGGTCATCATCATGATTATTATTATTTTTTATGTTTTATTTATATATTCATTTTTATTTAGGTACCGACCACCAGTGTGCCTGTGATTGTTCGCGAGTACGGGAAGGAGCATCTCTTCTTATAGTACGGAGTATTATTATGTTCCAGCACATATACATTTTTCTCTTCAGCTGAGATATATATTACTGAATGGGAGGGTACTAGGGTGGGTGTGTAGTAGCACTTGTGCATAACAGGCAAGTCATACATGTCACTACTATATACGTATAGGATAGAATAGGACGATGAGCTAGTTTTGACATTTCCATTTACCTGATTAGCATTTTTTATTAGGAATTTATTTATTGATTTATATGTATTGTTATTAGAAAAAATAATGACAAATTTTCACTTATCTTAGAATGAATGAACAATCTTGTGAAGAACATAAATACGAAGTAAATACTAAAACGGTTTGTACTCTGCCACTCTGGTGCCCGACAAAGTGGATATTTATAGTACATGAACTTTATAGTTTATACCCTATTGATTAAAGACTTAAACGCCATATTATATAATACGGATTACGGAATATATATCATTGCAATTTAACATGAAAATTCCAGTAATTGCAATTCAGTTCTAATTAAAACTAAATATCACTGAAGTGCTTTTATTTTGAAGATCGAAGGGAGAGAGAGGGAAACCTCAACATTAAGGGTTCTAAGGATGTTTTTAATTGGATAGAGGTTTTTTTATATATGATTTTATCTGTTTAAGTTTGGTCTGATAATTGTCTGGTTGATGTGTATTTTATAATTGTTAAACTCTAATCTGGTTTGTTTAAATTTGGTCTGATTAGTTTAAGTCTAATTTGATCTAATTTGTTTAAGTCTTGTTTGATTTAAAACTGAAATAAGTTTAAGTAAAAACATCCTAACTTTTGAAGAAAAGATTGTTTCTTGTTGTATTGTTGTATACTATAACTACCTCCGTCCCAAAAAACTTTGTCATCTTTAAAATTTTGATCAACTATTTATTTTTATTGAAAATTATTTATGAAGTATAATATAAAAATGATGTAAAATATTCTTTATTAAAAGTACTTTCATAAAATTTTATAATCCACAACTTCTGTATATTTTATATTAATCAAAATCATACCCCAAATTTATGAAATGCAAAGTTTTTTACGATGGAGGTAGTAGTTTATAATAAAATTAAATTGACAATTATAATAAGCGCAAGGCGTATGGGTAGGGATGGACAGGGTCCGGGTCGGGATGGGTCCCAGGGCGGGATTTTGGCGGGACTGGATTTGGGGATTGAAGACCCAATACCGGCCTGGGTTGGTTCCAGGACCGGGTCGGGTTGGGTGTAGTTGTTTTTTTTAAATAATTTGGGTTTTCTTAGGAAAAATTGATAGTAATAATCCCAACTATTGGCGGTCTGCTCATAATAATCCCAACTATTGATTATTACAGAATAATCCCAACTTTAGGGACCTTCCGCCAATAATGGTCCCTATGAATAAATTCTTGTAGTTTCTAAAGTGGATGAGATGAGATATAACAAGTAATCCTTATAAATAATCTCAACTTTTAATTTTTACGCTTAATTTCTATTTAAAATTCACTTTTTATAGAGGTAATATATGGTCATGGACCATTATTGGCGGATAGCCTATATAGTTGGGATTATACAAAAATAATCAATAGTTGGGATTATTTTCAGCGGACTGGCAATAGTTGGGATTATTATTTTCAATTTTTCCTTTTTCTTATTTATTCCTACCCCAAACCATCCAGCCCCACCCGACTAGCACCCAATCAATTCGAAAAAATCAAAAAATAAAATAAAAGGGCCCGGTCCACCAAATACCCATCCCGTAGCCCGCCCCAAAACCCCGCCGGTTCGGGCCACATGGACCGGTCCGACCCATACCAGTCCCTCTCTAGTAGGGGGTCTGCGAACCAGATGAAAGAAATACACTGTATTCCTTTTTAACAAAAACTTTAATTCCAGAAAGAAAATAATGTAATTACATTTTGTTTTCCTATTTCTTTCCCTGATAATTAAAGACGACGTTGGACTCCATAGCATTTTATTTCATTTAATAGTATTGGAAGGATTTAAAATTTATATTTGTTTGTGAGTTTGGTTATGATTTTGGAAGTTGTATTTGCTTTTTGTAGCAGATTGTGGTTGGACTTTTGAGGCCATTATTACAATTACAAATTATAAAATTTATGAATTTTTATCTAAAAAAAACGATTTAAAATATATGCTGTACGATGACATGACTCTCATATTCATCATTGGTTTATCATACTCATTTTTCCCACCTATGAAAGTATTATTCTCCTTTTTTGGACGAAAAAATGGCATTCTTCTTGTATAGGAGAGAGTGGACTATAAAGGAAGAAAATAAAGTGAAAAAAGATGCGAGTGAAAGTGCAGTTTTTGATCAAGATTTTTCCTAGAACATTAACTAGATACACACATACAAGTATTTAAAAAAATCATCGTATTCTTTCAAGCACAAGTAAGCAATTCATTAAAATTTGCGTATGAACTAAATAAAGGAACGGCGGATTATCTATAATAAGATTTTCTTATTTGTTTATAAGAGTGGTTGGAAACTTTTGGGTATTTCAAATGAATAAGACTTTAATTATTTTTGTTGGAAATTTTATCATGACTCAAAAGATCATTTTTTCTCCTCCATATATATTAAAGCAATGGAATCCAATGATCAAATTATTTATGTTTACACCAGGCCGGTTATAGTTCTAACGTTAGTGTCCCTTTTAATTTAAAACTATTAAATGTCCTCTTAATGATGAAACGTTTTTTATTTTATCTTATTTATTACATGTTTAAATGTTAGTATAAAACCATACGTGTGTGCTTTACTTTGATAGACCTTTTGGTCTTACTAGATGAGTGGAGGAACATGGGAAAATACACTATCATACCTACATTATAACATACATACATATGTGAGAACATACATGTATGATATGTGAAAACATACGGTATATGGAGAGCTAGATAGTGAATGAGGTCAGTTTAGCAGCAACACGGTCAACACGTTGATTTTGGAAGGATAGAGCCAACATACGTTTAATAGAATCTAGTTTAACATCACCCAGATGACAATGACACATAGGTTGACATGGGCCCAAGAAATTCCGGGTTTCAGGCTGTTGTTTTCCTATGCCACATTGCCACCGCCATTTTTTTATCTGCTCAAAGTTAAAAAGTGACGTAAATACTGGCAAAACAGCCCGATTAAATGTTCTTTCAATATAAGTGATGATCTTAAATAGTGGAATGGTTATTTGAAATTTTGTTAGTAACCAATTATATGAACATTGAAACACTGCCTCCCAGAACACATGAAAGCCGCTACCCACTTGCAAAATAATTTTATAATTAAAAAAAGAAATGATTATGATGTAAAATACACATCCTACAAATAAATCTAAAGAAAGCACTACTTGTGGTTAGTTTTCTTCCTACAGGTCAGCTCGGAATGATACTGTAGGTCTTTGTGTGAATTCGTAGCAATTCAGTTCTGCTCATTGCTTGTCATTTGTGTTTCTTGCTAGACCCCATGGAGGGATGCTCAGCTGCTGCTAGTTCAACCAACCTCTCAAAATCAATCTCAGTTGATTGGTACTTGAGTTTGAACCCCCCTTCAATCCAAGAGTTCACACAAAGCATAGATTGAGCAGTCTCATGCCCTGCAGCAAACCGCTGCCTATCAATCTCATCACCTTTGTTGAAAAACAGCTGTTCAGGTAACACTGCAGTTGCCTGTGCAGCTAAGAAGTCGCGAGCCATCAGAGACAACCTGGGATAGCAAGTAGTACCATTTACTTTCCACCACTCCAGGACATCTGTGGACATTGTGGACATTGGAGCGGGACCCTCTGATAAGTAGCGGGTGAGCTCATCTGCTACAGAAGATGAGAGTTTTTTTCCGTATTAATGCTAATTAATTAAGTATTTACGAAAATAGGGTTGGGTTAAAAGTATTTACGGATATACTGCTGGGTTTAACCCTGGTCGGGGTAAGTCGCCCAACCGGCTGAAGTCGCCCAACCGTTTGGCGACTTACCCATAAATTAAAAAAAATGGTTAAGCTAATCTCGAGAACCCACCAGTCCTGTCCAGTATCGAGAAAGAAAGTTAAAAAAAAGGAAAGAAAAGAGGGGCAAAATCTTCGGTTCTGAACTAGAAGCCGGAATTCTTGTGTGCGCGAGAGCTCCCCTATTCTCCTTCACTTTTTAATATTAAGTGATGAGTGATTCATATTTATAGGATTCAAACTTCCCAAGGAGTTTAGGTGTGGGAAAGTTAAAGAAACCCACTTTCCACCTTTGCTTGAAAGTGTACACCTTTCCATCTATCTTTTTCAAGAGCTAGTTTTGAGCCACTTCAAACTTCAAGGTTCAAAACTCCAACACCAAAGGTCAACACTACAATTAAAGCTTCCATGAGTCACCCCGATATATATATGTATGTATGTATGTATATATATATATATATATATATATATATAGAGAGAGAGAGAGAGAGAGAGAGAGAGAGAGAGAGAGAGAGAGGACTGCTCAGGTCCCTCCGGAGGGACGGGAGGGACCGTCCGAACTTTACTGTTTGGGGAGGTTCCCTGTGGAATTTTTTGATGAAATTTTTTGAGCATGTTCCTCATCAAGTCTAGTTTGTCCATACCAAATTTCAGCTCACAATTCGACCGGGAAGGCAGTCAAATAAATTCTTGAAACTTACTGCACTTTATATATGCGCAGAATGTGCAGTAAGCTTCAAGAATTTATTTGACTGCCTTCCCGGTCGAATTTTGAGCTGAAATTTGGTATGGACAAACTACACTTGATGAGGAACATGCTCAAAAAATTTCATCAAAAAATTCCACCGGGAACCGCCCCAAACAGTAAAGTTCGGACGGTCCCTCCCGTCCCTCCGGAGGGACTTGATCTTTTCTGTATATATATATATATATATATATATATATATATATATATATATATATATATATATATATATATATATATATATAGGAAAATGTTCAAGTAAGGTAGGCCTAAGAATTGAAATTCTTAGGCCTCTTTCATTTGAGGTGCTTCCGGGATATATTTTTTGATGATATTTTGTGAGCATGTTCTCCATGAAGTGTTGACTATGCCCACCAAATTTCAGAATAAAATTCAATCGGTAAGTCGGTTAAATAATTTTTTCAAAATTGTGCAGGTTTTTACATATATAAAATGCAGTTTTTTTTCAATAATTTATTTAAACGACTTCACGATTGAATTTAATTCTGAAACTTGGTAGACATAATCTTCAATCCATGGAGAACATGCTCACAAAATTTCATCAAAAAATTCGACCCAGAAGCACCTCAAATGAAAGAGGCCTAAGAATTATGATTCTTAGGCCTACCTTACCTTAGCATTACCCTATATATATATATATATATATATATATATATATATATATATATATATACAT